ATATTCACTTGTTGACATTTTCTATCTAAATCCATAGAGTATTCATAAGTTTAAGGAAGACTGCAGTTCAATGAGTGCAGTGTTGAACAAATAACTTTACCAATCAGAATACTGCATTAAGATTGCAGTATTATTACATACAATTCTGAGCAGTAGGGATCCTAACACTTCCTGACTGTAGTTTTCAGAGTACATAAGATGGTTCAAAATTGCCAGGACCTTCTACCATATTAGCACCAGTACTCAATTAATCATTAGTTAGAAGTCATTTGGAACAATTCTGGCACAGGATATTTCCATATAACTGCTCATTTTAATAAGGCAAAATCAACTGTATGTTATTTAGTACTAAGTGTGAAATAGTTTCCAGTGGATCAATATAATAGGATCACTTTGGTGATAGCAATGAAACAAAATGATAAATATACTGCCTTGCTTAATCCAAACCATTCACTGAAAGGAAAAACTCAATTACATTTGTAGATCTGTACTATTTTGCAGCACATACAATATTTGCATTTGTTTCTTTTTCTGCTAATTGTCATCTATTTTCTGTGATGGAATTAAATTTTCCTATTTGAGCACAATCAAAAAGAGCTAAATTATTTCTCCAGCAGAGGGGGCTACAGCACCACCAGATTATTTTCCGGAAATGATCACAACTACACAGACATGCAATATGCTTTCATAGTATTAGTACTGATGATATTAGAAGTTGCAAAACTACTAAAATGGCAGTGGAGTATCTTTAATGAACCATCATTTGCAATAAAAAAATTGAATCAATTGTTGAAAATTCTTGTCAGTATTTGAACTATTACCAGACATTTCACACAGAGTACAGCTACTTAATGATAAAGAAAACAACAATAAGCACCATCAGCACAGAAACAGAGATTGCTAATATATTACTCATACAGATTTTACATATTTTACAATGGAAAGTTAATACATTTATTTCAATAATACACATTTTCCCATTTGTTAACTGTCACTATCCTTTTGACTTACATTACTTAATTTGTCATTAGTGGCATAGTTTAGAATGTAATTTACCAGGAATACCTTTCACAGGAAATAAAATAAATAACTGAGGCATCACACAAGGTGTAATGAGCAGGATGTAACAGCAGTGTTGCAGTCACCTACAAGGACATTGTTGCAGTTTTTTTTTTGTTCGCATCAAAGGTCCAGGTCTAGTTTTCCCTCTCAGATTAAGAAACCACAATGCTTTAGGCTTAAGATTCAAAACCACTCAAAAGACCTGACATTACATAGCCCTATATTACGTCTTTCTAAATATACCAATACCAGTAACAATACAATTATTTATTCCATCCACTCCATTCGTTTCCTAACTGCTTCTTCCAATTGAAGGCAGGGATCCAGAGCCTATCCTGGCAGGCACACCCCAGGAACTGAACCCAAGGCCCCCAGCGTTGTAAGACAGCAATCTCTTAAATTTTATCAATTTAACTTTGGATTTTTGAAATTACATTTTAATAACGCATCAAACAGTACATAAAAGGAAGAAAGTCTGAAGAAACCAAATATTGACACACTGTCCCACTTTATAAAGAGGAATTAATATAACCACAAAACCCAAACTGGTTTAGAAGAAAAACTATGTCTTGCATCCACATTTTTCCCTTTTGGTCTGACAACACCCTCTGGCGGTATACTGCCACATAATTCACCAAAGATACAGGACCGGAGGAAATAAAGCGAGATTCCTGAGCTTAGTCCTGAATATTCCCTAGAACCACAGCTCCTCAGCTTTCACATTTCGTGGGAAATAAACGTAATGCTTATGGGAATAAAACTTAATAAATGTTAATGCTCTCCGATTCCAAGGGTACTTCATCTCTCGGCAACCTAGGCAGCACAGAGCTATCAACACACACTCGCATTTCATCTGAGGTGCGACAAAATAAGCGTCACAGCTGTGATTTTCTGACAATGTTTTATTTAGGCTGCATCACATCTCCATGTCTCCCATCCATCCATTTTCATTATCCATTTCGGACGGGGTCACAAGGATGCTGAAGCCTATGGATGCAGCCATATCACCCTGCAACTCACAACTGGCAACCCACTGAAGCTAAGCAGGTGTGAGCCTGGTCAGTACCTGGATGGGAGACCTCCTGGGAAAAACTAAGGTTGCTGCTGGAAGAGGTGTTAGTGGGGCCAGCAGGGGGTGCTCACCCTGTGGTCCATGTGGGTCCTAATGCCCCAGTATAGTGATGGGGACACTATACTGTAAACAGGCGCTGTCCTTCGGATGAGACGTAAAACCGAGGTCCTGACTCTCTGTGGTCATTAAAAATCCCAGGGTGCTTCTCGAAAAGAGTAGGGGTATAACCCCGGCATCCTGGCCAAATTTCCAATTGGCCCTTACCAATCATGGCCTCCTAATTATCCCCTTCTATGAATTGGCCACATTACTCTGCTCTCCTCTGATGTGTGGTGAGCGTTCTGGCGCACTATGGCTGCCGTCGCATCATCCAGGTGGATGCTGCACATTGGTGGTGGTGGAGGGGAGTCCCCATTACCTGTAAAGTGCTTTGAGTGGAGTGTCCAGAAAAGCGCTATATAAGTGTAAGCAATTATTATTATTATTATTATTATTATCCTGGCAAGCAATGGACCCAAGGCAAGATACGCCCTGGACAGGAAGCCAGTCCATCACGGGGTACAGACAGACACAGACACGCACACGCTCACACCAGGACCAACTTCAAGACAATTAACCTACCAGTATGTCTTCAGACTGTGGGAGAAAACCAGGCACCCGGAGGAAACCCACGCAAACACTAGGAGAACATACAACCTCCATGCAGATAGCAGCCCAGGTCCAGAATTAATTCCCCAGCACTGTAAAGCAGGGAAGCTAACCACTGAGCCACAGGCTGCCCCCAGTCTCTTCCAATAAATCCAAAAAACTGCCTGTCAAAAAAGAAGCTATGATCCAAAATCAGCCTTGATCACTGAAAACATGTTTTACATTTAGTCCAAGAAGGGTTATGCTTTGAATAGTGGTACCAGAACACAACACCTTCAAAGGCTGTATATAACATTTTGAATCATTAACCAAGAAGAAAGAACACATGATACCTTAAGATAAACAATTCTCCCGTTAAGGGTTTTCTAGTACATTTGAGATGCTGTTAGCACAAATTATAAAAACAGGGTCATTAAAACAAATTTCATTTAACACACCCAGGTAAGGACAGCTTAAAAAAAACAAATCGCATTCAACAAGAAACTGTCAGAAATTACGTATGGAAAATCATAATTTATGCATAGCAATATTTGGGTTTAGTTATTGCAATCTCAAACAGACCAATGACAACAAGAAACAATACCCTCCCACTGTTGGGGCAAGTTAGTCCTCACAAGTAAACGTCCAACTTGTTTGACTATTTACGGGAAGTAAAAGCTCTGGTTGCGTCAGCAGCAGTAGCAGTCAAAGCCTCCACTGTTCCCCCACCAAGCAGTAGGGGTGTCATATAAAGGCTCTTAAGTCAGGCCAGCATGTAACGATGCCCGAGGAGGGAACACAGTGACAGCCCCAACGCACAACTAACCTCTTGGTTTCAAGAACATTTTTGAAAAATACCTGGGCTCAGGCGTCACAACCTCGTTCCATGGTTATGTCACTCTCCGGTGTGACTAGACTTTTTACAGGGTCTAAAATTCTTTATTAAACACCACTACTCGGAGAACAGAGGTAGGGGCTAATATAAGAACATTAATCAAATGTAATTATCCTAGATGCCACAAATATAAAAGTCAGCACAGTACAGTAGTCAATACCATATTTAGCTCACTAATTGATTTTGAGGTGCATTTCAATGTTTTACCTTGAAAATTGTCATATGCAAGAAAAGAGCTCTTTTCCTGAAGCAAACAAGTGTGATAAGCAAGCACATGAGCATTTTCTTAAAGCAGCCGTGTAATTTGTAAGGTGGTATTAAAAGCCGTGGATATTTAACCAAGGGGTGCAGTGAAATCAAACTTTTGTGAAGGTTAACTAGAATGGGTTGATATTTCCCCTTTAGAAGCGATCAAGTGAAAATTTCAAAACACATTTCTAGCTCACAGTAAATGTCGCTAATGAAGTGATTCCTTTATACAGACTGGAACAAAATTAAATTAGAACATCAATACAGCCAAATAAACAAACTCTTAAAGATTTCTGGGGCAATAATGTGAGTAAAGCTGTCAGGATTGGCATGCTTCTTTACTTCCAAATCATCACACAGACTCCAAAACTGCAACATTCCAAAAAGGATGTAACACATTTATTGAATCCAAATGGTTTTACAAAGTACACAAAAATTCCCCTGCATTTTTGTTATGTTTCCAATTAATGCCTGGTTAAGCAACAGACAGTAACATTAGGAGTATGAACAGCAATTACTGGCAATCATGCAGAAATGAATTTAAATGAAAAAATGCACATTAATACCATTAATTCATTAACAATCTACGGGCATGTACAAAAGAAAAAGTACTAACAAAGGTTAAGAAGTTGAAAAACAGGTTTTTCATATGAAAGCACGGTTAAGGTTTCTAATCCAACAAGTTTACCAGATGAATGAGCCATATCCATGCTTCAGTCAATATACATTTTGCTTTTGCCCCCAACACTAGCTAGAAGGCAATGTGCACCAAGGGAGAAATTGCAATACAGCAAAAGTGCATACAGGAAAAACAATACAACAAAACATAATGGACAAAAATCTTCCGGTTCTAATGTAATGGTCCCAACAAAAGTAAACTTGAATAAACGCAACCTGCAACAAATTTCACAGGGTGCAATTCATAAATACTCTAAAATGAGAAAACAGTCCATTTAAAGATATATTCCAAAACTGACTTACAGAAATCAGCCAAAAACAAAAACAAAAAAAATCTCAGCCTTGCTTAAAGTATTCATTTCCATTCAAACTGTGCCAGGAATTACTTGTTATCCAACCGTAGGAGCTGCTCCTTACCATTTATAGTTAGAGATTTTAACTGCCCGTCTTCTTCAATCTCTACTCGCTCCTGTCCATTCTCTACAATTCTAAAAATGGAGAAAACATTCCATTAAGTTTAACAGCCCTGCAAAATCGAAGCATTGCATGTTCAGGTCCTGATAAAACAAGCATGAACCAGAAATACAGTTCTTTAGTAAAGTAAGTAAATAAGAACCACAGACCCACCAGTGCCCACTAGTGGACAATACTGGAAATTCCATGCACCTCCACACCACACCTCCTTTCCAATCCCGGTTATCAGGACCCCTACTTGTGGTTTTTCTCCTTCCAGGTGGGCTTCCACACTTTCACTGGACCCTGCTCGCAGTTATTTGCTTCCCTAGAGTTTAAAGTGTTCCCAGCTTTTAGGCAGGAGTTCATTCTGAGTTTTAACTCATTCAAATTTGCAAATGGAAATCTCTAAAAAGCAGTGAACTTGTTTTTTTCCTCAGCCTTTTCAAGCCAAGTATGACTTGAACGACAGACCCAGTTTCTTTTCCAGCAGTGCCCTGGGTACCTTTTTGTGGTGACCTTCCTGCCGTTGACAATCTTGGTGGAGGTGGATACCGATCGGAAGTTGCCCATGCCCCCGCCGCTGACGCTGCCGCCGCCGCCCCCGAACGAGGTGGAGGAGAACGAAGCAAATCCTCCGCCGCCCATTTGCCCAAAGGAGGTGAAACCTGTTGAAAGGTCACAGCTGCTTTCTAGTTACCTGTATGTCACACAAAACAGCTTCACTACAGAGAAGAGGACTATTAAAAACCACACATGCAGCACTGCGTCTTATTTGCTATGGCAGAGGAATTCAAGGAAATCAGGAGCCTACATTAGTGATGCTGACAGGCCCACACTTTAAGCCGCTAAAAAAAATCCGTCAAGGCTTTCTTGCACTGAACTCTTTACAGGGAAGCTCATAATAAACTTTTTTTTTTTTACATTTTTAGCAGCCATCTTTCAGTTTGGCATTTTCCCCTTCAGTAATGAAAGCAAAACTGGTTGGACGCATGAGCGGACACAGAACAATGTGCACAAATCAAAAGTGAAGAGAGATTACACACGGAGAGAAGAAAGTTTATACAAGGAGTGCAGCAATTCAAGACTCAAGAAAACAAGAATCTTGTTCAGAGACCAACAATTTCATCTAACCTATTAATTCTCCCATGTCCTCAAACAACATTACTTGGCTGGTTAGTCGATATATCAATAACTGTGTGTAAACAAAGCACTTCTTGTTTGTTAAAGTGTGTTCTCCAAATAGCAAGAGGAGGAAAAAATATATATAGTTTGCCTGAATCGAATCCCGAGAATCCAGCACCAAAAGGAGGAAAGCCACCAAATCCATGGAAGAAGGAACCTCCTGGCCGACTTCTGCTAACCCCACGCTGACCCCTTCTGCTGCCGAAGAAGTCCTCAAAGGGATCGTCTGTTTTATAGGGAAGAACAAATATCTTGTTAATGAAAAGCTGTCTCCATCGCTCAGGTAAAAAAAAAAAAGTAAAAGACTTCTAAAACACTAGAGAAAGCACTGGAAATGTTTGTGACCTTAACAGGTTTAACTTCGGAGTGACCCACATACAAAAACAATCAGAAATTTAGGAATCAATGTCGGGGCTCACCTGAAACAAAGAAACGCATCCCGATTCATTGTTTACCAACCAAATCGGAAGTTTAAAAGGTTCATTTTGGCCATCACTTCATGTCGTACGGACCAGTGCTGTTCACAATTAAGGATTAGATTACAGGGTTCTGGGAGGCATGGTAGCACAGTGGTAAGGACTGCAACTCGCAGTTCTGGGGCCCTGCGCTCAATTCCTGGGTGCAATCTGCTTCTTTCCTATTCCGTTTTCCCAGTCTTAGCAGCTATTTAACCCAGCTTACACTTGCACGTTGACTATGGGTGGGTCAAGGTCATCTCCAATGAGCCATGTGCTACTCAAGACTGTCTTCACACTGCGTAGTGGAAAAAGAAACAGCAAGGCCTCCACTGCTTGCTGGAGGACAGACACCTGTCACTGCCAAAGACAGAAGGGCTCTATAGTCCTGCCAGCCAGGAATCCGTATGCTCAAGTGTTACTAAATCCCAATAACTGGCAACTTCTATTATCTTCTGGTATCCATCTCAACCTAATTCTAAATCTAAAGCCTTTGTGTGTCCACACCTATTATAGTAAATAGGAATGAGTAATGTTAGAAACATGGATTTGTTTTTTAAAATGCCCTTTTTTTAGCAGTGTGTTTTCTCAAAATTGATTTTTATGTAGGTATGTGGCTGGTAAACTCAACAATGTGATACCCCTTTACTTAGAAAACTATCTGGCGAAGGAACACTTCTTTAACCCTACAGCAGGTAATTGTGAACCTATCTAAATTATACCCCAGAAATAAAAAGAGTCCAGAGGAACAGAAAAGCTAAGCCCTGCACCTAGCGGATTCTACTCCCTACATTCAGAAAATCACTCTATGCCATTTAGTGACTGCCTGAATTCCAAACAGAGATCTGCAAGACAAGGTTATTACAGATGATGAGTCACTGTGGAGTTATTCAGTGTCCAGTTCTGGTACTAGGTATACTGAGTTCATACTGGTTTCATTTAACGCGTTTGTGATGCTGTTATAGTAGCTTCCGTAAGAAGTAATAAAAAAAAACAGCAACAGCTGTACTTTAAGTGCAGTTTAAATATAGCAATTACTTCGTATACAGGCCCACAAAGTTTCCTGAAGGCATGTGTTGTTTTTTTAATAGACCTCAATAAATATCCTTATATAATAATGGATAATGAAATGACATGGCAATATTATGATCTACACTCTCCTGCACTGTACTTCAACATTTTTCTTTGGAAATATAATGGTAGAGAGAACCCTAGCCTTAACCTCTGTAGTGTGAAACAGCATAAGGAAAGTAAAGAAAGCAGCATGAAGTAAAGAGGAGAATCTTTGTTCTCCAGGAATGTAAAATGTCCTTTAAAAAGAATGTTTTATTACAACACCTTAGCAAAGTACAAAAGCTAACTATAACTGGATTCTGCTGTACAGTTGATCTAGAAAGCTCATCTGTTTAGTTTAACAACAGTTAATTGTTTGCAGCGATATTCCAAACATTCCAGTGAAACGGCACATTCTTTGTTTCTACAACATGTGACTCTTATTTGGTCCTTTGTGTACCCTATAAGGTGTTCTTTCACTACACAAAAATATGTTCATAGCATTTTGAAGTAAACCCTGTTGCTTGATACCACCACTGCAGCAATTACATTTCTTAAAACAGGGCATATTGTGCACGGAAGCCTTGTTTCACTGACTCCTTTCAAGAAATAGATAACCACACAAAGACTCTGGCATGCAGTTCTTCCCTTAGTTACCGATGCAAAAATGAAAGTGCTTAAATTGTTTTTCATAAAGTCATAATTCTTTCACACCAAAAATAACCTTCAGATACACAAATAATTAAACTGACTAGATATTCACCTAAGAGAATACTATTCATCGATATTCATTTGAGATAAAACTGGACCAACACTGAGAATAAGGTTTGTTTCTGTTTAAGTAACCTGGGAAAATTAAATAATTCATTTTTGCCAACTAGAAATAACTAGAAAATGTCTGGCGAGGCTGCAAAGCTACATAATTTAAATATCAAGAGAAGCCATCAGTATACCGAATACAGACTTTTGGGATTATTTATGACATTTAAAAGCAAGTGTGGTGACAGTGTAACCAGGGCTCTGGGATGGCATAGTGTAAATACAATATAGCAGAGCACTACAAACTTCATGTAGCGAAGGCTTTATGTGTACTGCCAGCTCACTGGAAAACCAATTACCGAAGAAGTCAGCAAAAGGATCTCGTCCTCCGAAGAATTCTCTAAACACATCTTCTGGGTTGCGGAAAGTGAATCCAAAGCTGTCACCATTGTGATAGTGCCCTCCTGTGAAAAAAGAAAAGGTTTGTAAAGACTGATTCGCAGTGGCATTGGTGTGATGCAAGGGACCTAGAAAAATTCTGAAATTGCAGCGGTTAAAAAACAAAAGGCAGGGTAAGGGCTATGCATTTAGAACTAAGAAAATCTTGTCAGTACAGAAGGTCAAAGGGCAGCCTAAGCAGTATTTACAGAAACAGTGACAGGCAATGTATTGAACGTAGGCCATATCATTTCTTTAAAACCGAAAACTGAGGGAACTATGATTTAACATTTCAAACAGTGCTCAATAAAAAAAAAAGTGGTGGAATTCAGCTCCATGACACATACTGTAAGACTATTACAGCTAAATATTGAGCTGGTCTTGGAGGCAACATCCAACTACACAATAAACTCCCGAGAAGTAGTAGCCCAACAGGATGGGCAGTGGATAATAGCCTGCAGTGGTGGGGCTGAAGCCATTGGGCGCCTTTCACATAAAAATCACATGAAGTTCATTTCTCTGTTTGCACCATTGGAGAAGTTTCCCACATGACACATTCCCTCTTGCAGGGTCCACCAGCGCAAAAACAGAGGTCACATACCTCCTCCGTTCCCACTTAAGCCTTCTTTGCCATAGCGATCATAAATATTCCGCTTGTTGGCTGGAAGATAAGAGAGAAAACGCAAGTCAGCACTTCACTACCTGATGAAGTAAACGGATTATATTTACAACGATCCCCCCTAGTGCTCCATATCCTGGCCATGATTTAAGTTACTCCAAATATACCTGTATAAAAGCAGAATGTCTGACTGTGATGCACATAGAGCACAGGTACAGAGCTTCCTTCTCCGGAATGCATACTCAGCACTAAACGAGGCATTGCTGTGTTAAAAGTACACCTTCTGACTCAACATTTCAGCATGTGTAACATTTTACAGCACACTCAGCACGGGCTGTAGTTCTGCATTCAGGTATTATTTATGCTAAAAGCAAAAAGCAATGAAAAATGACACGCAAGCTCTGAGCCAACGAGAGTGAGGCATGTGCATGTTGACTGCACAGGCAGAGCCATTTATAATCACTCGTCAAAAGAAATCTCAAGCCACCTCCATGATAAACCACAGCCTGACCCCAGGATTATCCACTGGCAGTCTGAACAGTCAGTTCATTGGCTTGTATAAAGAATTAATGCATTTCTTCTGTTACTAGAAGTTAAAAATAAACACTTCACAAAATTGATTTTTAATCATATTCTATTGGCTCCGGCTAGCCCCGCAACCTTGAACTGCATGAAGTGGTGAGAAAACGGATGGATAAATGATTAATTTATTTAAGTAATGCCATTACAGACACCCCAATGAAGACTTCGTACATCACTAGCATGTAGGAAACGGGGCTCCTAGGAACACAGCTTCCTTCTCAGGAATGCATACTCAGTGCTAAACAAGGCACTGCTCTATTAAAAGTATACCTCATTTTAATATTTAACTGACTGTGCTTTACAAATGTTTTGTTCCATCTTCCCTTAGTCATAATTCCATAATTTTACAAATTACATGACTGACAGGTAAAGCACCAATATTTTAAATGGGCACATTCACTTACATAATGCTAAGGAAAGTCATGTCATGAAGGGTTCTTAAAACCTTTCTTGTTATCTCTGTTTTAAGCAAATTAAGGACTATGTTATCGCCTGGGGTCACAGGTCTCCACAGAAAGACAGTGTTAGTTTTAGTCCTTACTAAGTTTCACACTCTCAGAAACCTTCATAGAGAAATGTAGTCTATGTTATTAAGAAATGTTGCCCTACTATTGTCACTGAATCACTGCTGTACTAAACAAAGTATTCAAAATACATTTGAATTTTTCATGTACAAAATGATGTTTTCCATTTGAATGGTAAATCTTCCCCGTTTCAAAACGTCAAAGTCACATATAGTTCTAAAAATGCTATTAACATCTCAGAACTGTTTAAACCTTTGTAAATGTAAAACAAATCAGTCAAAACCACCTGACAGAGAAATGTCACTGGGAAAAGAGAAAAATTAAGTATGTCAGCAAAGACCGATGTAAAGGTAAGAATAAAAAAAATCCCAATTAAATGGTTTCACAGAATAACCCATCTTTTTATCTTACACCTACCATTCCTGAGGAAATTTCACTTGCTACAAATCAATCTGTTTGTGCACTCCTGTCTCCCTATCATGAGAAAGTTTTTTGTATCCTTCATTACTTCAACCTCCATGGATTCATCATCACATGATACCGCTGCTCACAAATTTGGAAGTTATGCTCCCCAAAAAAGTTCAGAAAGCCTCATGAACAGTGTTACACGATGTGATATGCCAATCATTCTGATAATACTACCATGGGAAAATCTATTGCATCATTTTACCTCACTAAAAAGAGAAAAGAATAAGTACATTACTTAAAGATGTGCCAGCATCACTGTGATCATGACAAGACGACTCATTAGGGCTGTATAAGCTGTTATTCATTTACCTACCTGCAATTACTGCCTTAACGAACACAACTAATTTGTATTTTAATACTTCATGCATCCTGAGACACTTATTCAGATGAAGAACAAGAAGATCACTTTATTGGCAATATACAATTTCTTTTATTAGGAATTTGTGTCTTACCCCAACTTGCTCTCCATGAGACACAGACAGGGAGAGAAGTTTGGGGTCAGAGAGCAGGGTCAGCCCTTTATACGGCACCCCTGGAGCAGCTGGGGTTAAGGGCCTTGCTCAGGGGCCCAACGGAGTAGGATTCCTCTGCAGGCCGTGGGATGTGAACCGGCAGCCTACCAGCCACAGGCGCAGATCCTTAGCCACAGAGGTCAGATAGAACAGGACCACGAACTCTCTAGTGTAAAAAAACCCTTGATCTTTACATGATGCAGTTTGAAAAAAGATGTGCCATACTGAAATCAAGTCACCAAATTGCAAAAGGTCATTTGCAACATAGAAAAAGGTCAAGGGGTATCAAAAACCTTCACTGAAGTTTGGGTTTCCTATTAAAAATTGACATTAAACAGACAGGAAACCTATTCAAAGCAGATTAAGTACCGAGATGAAATCACACCTACCATCTGACAGAACTTCATATGCTTCTGAAAGTTCTTTAAACCTCCTTTCTGCTTCGTCCTTATTGTCAGGGTTCTTATCAGGGTGCCACTTCAGGGCCAGTTTTCTGTACCTGAGATTTAGAGAACAAAATGCAGGTCACAGCACAGCAGCATCTCTGGATTCTTCTGTAGGCCAGTTCTGCTTGCCAACCCTGTGCCTATAAAGCTAACTGAATACAGGAGTCATATCAGAACATGCAGAATAATTTCTATCACTATTGCATGGAATGAGGTATGATACAGTTACAATATGTTCCTTGTTTGCATTCAAGACTTCATGTACCAAAACAAAGATAGCAACTTAATCAAGGGTAGCATTTCCATATGCAGCTTTGAATTTCTCTCAAATTGATACATTCACAAACACCACACGGCATGCAAAAATGCCCTTCAGACTAGTGAAGTCTGGTATTTGACTTTTACAGCCAAAATAATGCAGATACAGCAAACATACTGCTATGTTTACTATGATTGCTAGACCTTTCATTTTCTGTATCAGTTAGACACTGAAACAATAACCAGACTTTAAAATTCTACTTCATTTAGATTTTTACACATATTGACTCTTATACTAGTGCTAAAGTTAGAAACTATCCGGACAACGAATACAATTTCAGCAAAATAGCTCAATGTATTCAGCAGTCAATTAACTGATTTGGTATAAATTCCAGTAATATCGTACCAATAAAAATGCATCATATTGAAAACGACAGTTATCATAAATGTCCAATATTATATTCATTGTTATGAGTGTTACTGATGTTTTTTGCTGTATAAGCCATTATGTATTGTATTCCAGTTATTTAACCATTTTGCTTAGTAAGAGAAGCTGCCATCTGTACTTTAACTTTCTTTACAGAAGAGTGTAAGTAACAACTTAATTCTTACTATATCAGCTAATTTACTGGTAATGGGGTTGTTGGTGAAATTAAGTTGATGGTACTACCACCATAATATTTGAGGTACATCTCTATGGTAACAGATCATTCAAATGTCTACTGTTTAATATTATAGTTTCACAAACAATAATATACTAACACTCAAACTATATTTAATGCATTTTACAATGTAAGTTTGTTTAACCACTGTATTTAAAAATATTGTATCAAGAATAAACAATTCATAATAAATTTGCATCATTTTGTATCTTTATAATCTGCAAAATGTGTTTATACTGGTCATATAGCAGTCAACATACATACAATACATTTAGATTTATCATAATGAATTTGTGTCATTCAGCAAGTAGCATTTGCAGGCCCCTAAGACATTTTAGACTGAATAATGTGGTATTCAAATTCACAAACGATTATTTGCAGTTTTCCACATCCAAAAACGTGTTAAAAAAAAGTTAAAAAACACTGAAGGTAATTAGCTTTATCAATTTGAAAAATGAAAACAAAAGGTCATTTTGTTTCCATAAAAACAGCCGGGAAATACCACAGACAGCTGTGCTAAGATGGAACAGAGCACGAAGAGTTCTAGGAAAACCACCTGACACCCGCACCCCATCTGAGGTACAAGGGCTACAAGTTCTTAAAACTGAGCTAAGCCATTCAAGGAAAGGGTCCTGATGACAGCTCCCAAGATGTATTTTGCCCTTAACCTATATGTAATAAATTTCTAAGAAAAAAAAGATTAATTTAAATTTGAAATCTATATGTTTAAGTCTACAATGAAAGTGGAACAGAAAGTATTAAATTTAAGTCCACGTTAATCAGATAAATAGCTTTTGTTTCAATTTAAATCAACAAGTGTATCACATAATCAGGATATATCACAACGGTCCCTCTATATCACAGCCAGGTGAAGACACTTTGTCTTTCTGAGGGGGCAACCTTTCACAAGGTTTTATCTATACGCTAGTCTGCTAGAGCTAACCAGAGAGATAACGCAGGTCTGAGGTTGCACCATAGGCCGACTGTCAAAAATCCTGCCACTCGGCGCAATTTCTGTTTGCACTAGCAAACCGCTGAGCCTGCAGAGCGAGGCCACACTGTGACCTGATGCAGGAATGGTCAGGAATAGGAGTACAAAAAGGGATTTGTCTTTTCATATTGCTTTCTTTTTCACTGTCTCTTTTACCACAGGCTGTCAGCAGGTTAAGAACGCCAAGCTTCATTGAAAACATCTTTCAATCCACCCAGCAATGATGACCTTAACAGGTTTGCCTTTTTTTATACACAGAAGAGAGCCTTTGAAGTGGCATAACAGCAGTGGCAAAAAAAAAAACAGACATGCATTGTAATGACTGTGCAAAATCCCCTTTTAGAATCATTTAATGTGCTTTAACAATTGAGCTAAATCCTTTTGTGCTCAAAGACTTAAATGTTGTCCCAGCAGGTAAGCAAATTAGCATGAAAGGTTGCCTATCCCAACAGCACACGGATGAATGTCAGATTTACTTTTCATGCAACAATCTAGACCTGTATTACAGTATGTTGCAACCTTTTACAAGGATTGAAACTGAACTTCCTAGCACACCAATGCAAAAACTAAAAGTAAGCAATAGGTCACCTTTACATAAACCGCAAGTTTTAAAACATGCTACATTGGTAAAAGTTTCAATTAGCATGTCAGTAAAAGCCCAGTACTTTCCATAAACTGAAGAAAATATTTGATCCATTCATTAAGTACCAGATTAGGTTTTATTTAAATATGTGGGAATCTCACTACTGTAAAAAGGTCCCTTAAGAACTCATGTGCAGATGTGTGTAGACACTTAATTTTAGCCAAAAGAAAAGTCTCCAGTCATGAAAAGATAAGCTAAAAAGTACAAATTCCAAGATTCAATATGATAAAAAAAAATTTAATCAGCATGTAAAACGCAAAGTAAGGATATCTAGACAGAGGCTGTGATTAGCGTATTAGACAGTTCGCATAAAACACCTTCAAAACAACCTTCAACGGATCTCTCCTCTTTTAAATTCCAAATATAGAAGCTTTCTACTATTGTTCGAGTGAAAATTTATCATTTCTACATCCATGTTGTTGCTTTACAGATTCACACATTCAAAACTTTTCAGAAAAGAACAAATTTTGCTCTGGACTGTTTTTAAGAGTAACATTGTTATAGTCATGCATATCTGTGCACATTCATATAAGTTTTGAATTAAAACATCACAAGAGTCATATAAGACTGTATTCAGAAGAGTTTAAGACACCCTGCACCTTAATTTTGTATTTATACTGCCTCCACACTCACTTGCGTTTAGTATAAAATTAGGTCATGACATCTTTTGCAACTGATTGATAGTTTTACAAGTGTTAAAAATAGATGCCCTTTCTGGACATAAGTACTTACGCTTTTTTGATATCCTCTTGAGAAGCAGTTTTCTGCACTCCTAAAATCTGGTAATATTCCACCATCTTTCCGTAAAGCCTTTGTTTTAAACTGCAAAACAAGAAAATGCAAGTCAGATAAAACGCCTGAAACTAACAGAGAAAAAGGGTTATTTTACACATTTGTGACCACTAAACACTGAACTGAGTAATTCAGTGTTTCTCAGTTCTTGTCGTCGGGGACCCTTCTGTCTTCCGATTTTGGCTCAAGCAGAGTTCTTTAGTAATTTTAGGATAAGCAATTTCAAAACTTCTATTTGAGACCTATTTTTACATTTCCTTGGGCTCTTACAAGTTGAACAGGATTCATTATTGCTATTAACCCTCTATTAACTGGTGAATTTCAGAGTTATGCTAATGGAGGTGGGTCAACCAAAACGTAAATGTGCTTTTCCTATTGATTGTCATACCCACCCACATTTGTTCATCATAAAAAAAGATTGAAGAGTTAAATAAGGAAGCAAACTTATAACTAGTGCTGAGGAGAGACTGCATACATTTCTGTAAGAAAATGTTGAAACTAACGTACTACAGCTATGTTTTTAAGGTCAGAGTGCAGGAAAAAAATCTAAACAAGCAAATAGATCAGCAGAGGCACCAAGACAGGACAAAAACCAGCAGATACAGCAGTTCTTTGGTACCAGGATTGAAAACTACTATAGTAATGCAAGAGAGCAAAACCATCACATCTTTGGGCACAGTAGCAGTCAGCAGAATATATGGCAATACATGGGATTATATGCTCATGTAACATGTCCTGTATAACACTGGACATTTATCATTATCCTGGGTGACCAAGAAAGGGAAAGTGTTTGTGCTTGTAAACTCTTCATGGGTGAGGGTCACAATGCTCCTGTATATGTATACACTACACACCGGCAAGTAATGGAAACACATTTTTGTGCGGAGTAAATTCAGCTTCAATCCATACAATTCAACATCACTGACATTCCTGCTTTTGAGTGTCCAGGTCAACACATTCAATGAAAAGAGATTCCCCAATAGAGGACATTTATTGCAACCCAAACTACTTACCTTTGAATGTACCAATTCAAAATTAAAGCAAGCATTAATCGGAAGACCGACTCGTGGGAGACTCCACTGAATAACAGGAAAATAACGTTCTGAACGATAACAGGACAACTGATAATGTGAGGGGGAATTCCACTAACTGTATAAACTCGAAAAGCAAACTTATTTCTGTTGAAATGTGCACCTCCAGAGGCTGGAAACTGCTCTGGCAATGGAGTGCATAACATTGGCCAAATTTCTGTTCCATTGCTCATCATACACCACACTTCCAGCTCCTATTGCACACAAGACAAGTAGTGGCTTGACACCCTTCTGTCTTTCACCTCTGGTTTCTTCCGATATCTCTTTCGCTGCAGCTGTGCTGGACTTGGCTTCTAACAAGGATTAGACTTTGGAGTTTTACAAACTCTACTACTAATTTTTTTATGACAAACTTCTAAATACTTTATAAACATCCTATATGCCATTCTTTTTATTCAATCTTCAGGCTACGTTACATAACAGTCTCAACCCTTTGTATTAGAAAGTTGCCACTGCCTTAGTCGCAGTAACACTTGCTCTCCAGTTTCATTATTTATAAGTGTGTGGTAACGCATCTTTATTGAACATGTTCAAGCAAAAATAATTCACACTCACTTCAAGGGGACATTTCAAGCATATGCTTCTTAAGCTGCGTTGATCACAAAAGTGTACAAGGCACGGAGAAACGGAACACACACTTTTCACCAGCAAATGCTCAAAGTGAAAAGTGAAGCCTCCTAAATCACAGAAAGGCAACAGTTCATTAATTATGTACACTTGAGACTGAGCATGGATCACCGGGCTTGAGTCTTCCCCATTTTACTTTGTTTTGGTTTTAAAGATGTAATAAAAGACAAAGGCATGTGCAGGCACACATAGTGGGAACATTTTTCAAAATGAACTCGGACTAGCTTATAAACAAAATGGTTCTTAGCTTACAACAATGTGGTTTCTGACCAGCGTTGGATAATCTTTGAGCACTTATAAATTTAGAAGCACCAGTTATAACAAACTGCCATTAAGATCTCATTCAACATCATAGACTCCTCTACCCACTCAGGAGAGAACGCAACACTCAGACATGGTCCTTCTGTACTCGCAGCTAGAGTCATCTGCACTCTTCAGAAGGGCTATGTCCCTCACTGACCTCACTGCAGGTGCCCAGCAATTCGCAGAGGTCGTTGACTGAAAAGCTGAGAGACACCTGGCCGATTCGTCCTAACTAAGCCCCGGAAGCTCTCTGACAATCACCTGGCCACCGCTTTGGAGAATCCCAGTAACAGGACAAGAGCACAGCCCTAGCTTGGACCAGCAGCGCTCATATTTTTCAATGTCACTTTTAAGTTTTTCACATCATACAAACAATGCGGCGAGTTTATAATGTTGGTTCATCAGGATCAACTACTTTTTCCCCCCCAAAGAAAAATCCTCTTCAGAGCTCACAGTTCACCTTCGTGTTCAGATGGGACTTTCCCCTACTCAGAGTTCCTAAGTACTTGAGTGCTTGTACCTAAGAATAACGGCAATTATTATAATGACATTAGTATTTTAATTTACTTCCCAGAATTTATATTTAGCTCAAGTCTCTCTGCTGGTCACATAACACGTGATTAAAGCACTAAATTCTGTCACTCACTCCCCCAGTTTATGTAAATTCCAGCATCTCATCACCTAATCACAGTGCAAAGAAGCTACTGAAGGCCAGGGATTTTAATGTGCCAGCAGCTGCCGAGAGCTTATCGGGATCTGTACAATGCTGTTACTCTGTGCAGCACTACAAAAATTGTAAGGTACCTTACAGAACGTATTACAGACTTGTGGGGAGAATTTCATTTAGAAGCCAGGCTCAACAAAATTTATATTTTTTACAACTGCAATTGGTCTTCAATGCTTTACAGTTTCGACTCTAGTTTCGGTCACACGTCCGGTCTTGGTCTCAAAGCTTGGTCTTCACCAATACTAATAATGTAGGCTGCAGCCTGTACAGTTAAAGTAGTTGGGCGATTTGGCTCCTCCACAGTTTTTGTTCATGGTGGGAAAACTGGATGCAATGTCTCTGTGCTTCTCCTTCATTATATCATCACTCATAAACGGACTGACTTGACCTGCTCAGTGAAAGGCAGCACTTGCAGTCAAAATCATTCAATAGTTATAACTCGTCACAAAGTGTTCACGCTACAATGTCTGTGAAGTGATAAGTGTAAGTTTAAGTAATCCCCCCAAAATGTTGTAAGGATAGGAATGGTAACGTTAACATTAGCACCAGTGAAGAGACCACCGGCCATATGGAAGACGACTACATTTTAAGCAGTTTAATCTGCCATCGGGACAGAGGCCAGTTTCAGCATTTCAAATGCTGCAGCAGAAACAGCTGGCAATGGGCACTTTCCTTATTTGCTAAAAAATATAATTCCAGTTGATCGATTTATGTAGACCGTTGGATCTAGCAAGTCAACATCAATTTTAGTTTAAGCATCCCTTTTTACACGAAGACAGGTACAAGACAGACCTACAGTATTATTACTACAGAGCTGAAGAAAGAGGAACTTGGTGAGTCAACATACAGGGAGAAGGAAGAAAAACACCCCAAGTCAAAGAAACTTCTAACCAATTACTAAGCTTTCAAATAGTTTAATGTGGGGAAACTTCGGCCAAGAGCAAGGCCTATTTTTGTAATGACGGTTTGAATCTATACTGCTGAATACAGTTTGAATCTATACAATTTCAGGAGATAAACAATGTAGAGCCAGATTACCCACTATTTTAACTGTAAAATGCACACTTTACATCAGACATGTTGAGATGCAAAATAAATGTACAGAGCACAGCAATGGACCCTACCCTTCTGTGGTCCGTTAATCCAAATTGTCACTTCTTAAAAATGAATCAAGTTTCTGGGAACATTAAAACAGTGGTATCCCACTAATAAGGTTCTCTGTTTTACTGTAAGCATCTATCAGGTCCTTAAAGGGGTATGTAATTGTGTTATTTTTGTATATCACTAGTAACTAATGTTGACATCATTGATACCAGAAATTACACTAAACTAAAATGGTTTATTATTGCTCAACTTTAGCTAAAGATGCCCATCAATCAGTTATCTGCAAACTCTTCAGCGTTTACCCCACAGTGTCAACCAGATCGGTGTTCACCAGATCTGTTCTCTCCTAAACAAGTACATATTTTAATTTCGTGCATTGACCAAAATGAGCTTTCGACAAATATTAGCATCTGCAAAAGGTAGCCTAAATTTAAGTAGAAATTGGTGCTTTCATGAAGGGTAACAAGAATCTCAACGCTCAATTTAAGTCGGCCTTTCGAAAGTCTAAAATGCATTCAATGAAGCATAAAACAAAACTGTAAATATTGAGGAATGGCAAAACTGTACTAGTTATCAAAAGAGATCACCAAGCAGCCCAGCTCCAACAGCAAGCTATAATAAGGCAATTCGGTGTTGAGTTCTACAGCTGCATAGTGTAGGTTTCTAGAAAATAATGAGTAATGTCTTTACTAAGCAACATTCTGTCTCTATTCAACAGCCTGGCCCTTGTGTCAAACACAAAATGGGGTCTTCACTAGTTGTTCTACTACTAATTGATAGACTCAGAAGTATTGTAAAAGTATGGGAAACACTACTGATTCTTAAGTTCGTTGGAGTGATTTTGTTAATGCCTTTGAGAAAACTGGTGCCTCTTGTAGTCAGGAGACACAACCTTTGACAGGATGACCAACGTGTAATACAAACCCTGGCTTCTACACTATCAAGGGAAAAAAAAACTTTCTGAGTTTATTTTGTCAACATACAGTAGTTTTAGCTGTAACAGTGAGTGATATCACAGCTGAAGAGATACAGATTATGAAACCGCATAGAAAAGGAGACCGTGACCAAGGGGCCATGTGCAATTTTGTGCTGAAAATGCTGCAGAAGTTTATCTTTACGCGTCTGTGGTCTTAGTAAGTGTCCCCCATTAATCTCAAACTACCATCCATTTGTTAATGCTGGAAAAAGCATTACAAAAAACAGTAACAAAGATAAACTACTTTCATGCACCTTGGACTTTACTTAGCCAAATCTTCCTAGATTTATTGCACTCTCCACTAGCTCTTTTGTTTTCAAAACGTCTCATTTTCATAGCACTGCTTTGCCAGTTTCTTAGTGAAAGTGCCCATGCTGTTTATGTTACATGTTGTTCCTCTTAAAGTTACATTTTGAATCTGTGCTGGCATCATCCTGTGTAAAACCCTTATGGAACATCGGAGGGGGTGAGCCAATGAGCAATACTCTACCCCTCATGGCTCCCAGTGCTGGAATCAGTGTGGAGTATCTTGCCAAGAGTCAACAGATGTACATTAAGACTCCCATTGCATAGGTAAAGATCAAGGTTTCAAACTACAGTTCTTGCCTAACACAACACAAGGTACAATAATAATAATAATAATGAGAATTCTTACACTTGTATAGCACTTTTCTTGACACTCCACTCAAAGCACTTTACAGGTAATGTGCAGCCCCCACCTCGATGATGTGACAGCAGCCATAGTGCACCAGTAAACTTACAACACATTAGCTAGTAATGGGGAGGAGAAAAGAATAATAAACCCAATTCATAGATGGGAATGACATGACACTAGGGTAATGCCCCTACTCTTTGAGAAATACCCTGTGATTTTTAATGACTACAGAGAGTCAGGACCTTAGCTTTACGTCTCATTTGAAGGACAGCGCCTTTTTTTACAGTATAGTATACACCCTGTCACGATACTGGGGCATTAGGACCCACACACACACCACAGGGTGAGAGCCCCCTACTGGCCCCATCTAACACCTTTTCCAGCAGCAACCTTAAGTTTTTCCCAGGAGGTCTCCCATCCATGTACTGACCAGGCTCACACCAGCTGAGCTTCAGTGGGTTGCCAGTTGCGAATTGCAGGGTGATGATATAGCTGTTGATAAAAGGTACTGTATAAGACGAGCCTGTTACCTTATTTGAGGACGTGTTGAGGATTTTGCAGACTCGTGTAGAATAAAAAACATTAAAACAATACATTTTCTAATAAATCAGTACAGTCAGCAGGCAATCAAACTGCAATTCAATAGGTCTCTTTGGTGCCCCTGTAGCTGTGCCATGACATTACCTTTATATGTAATTTGCACAAATAATCTGCATCTATTAAGTAGATTCACATAACTGATGACCTGCATTCTCCAATCAGGTTAAATTGGGTAATTTTATTGTTTTATACAGCATTTAAAGAAGATATGAACTAAGAATAAGTAAAAACCAAACTTCCAATAGCCTAATAATCTCTGACACATTAATGCAAACGTATCCTTCTAAGAAAAGCTAATATTGTACCCAGTATTTTATTTCCCCACTTATAATAACACAATATGTCACATTAAAGTAGCTAAGATGGCTAGAACACAAGCTAGGCAGAACAGTACATTTGAGATCTTTCAAGGGCGACTGAATAACTATTCACAGCCTGCACGGAGAAGACATCCATTTTATGAAGCTTGTAAACCTACCTTTAATATAAAGCCGAGACATCACAACTTTTTCCTTTTGCTTCTGGAAGTGTGCAGCCCAGAGTGAACTCGGAAGAAAAAATTCTAAAGCGATCAGCAACTAAGTCCACCCAGAACTGAGTTGTCTCCTGCTTTTAGCTATTTATATCGCCTTGGCAGCTCAGCGCCCTTTCCAATGTGCGGTATTTCATGCTGCTTCATACCCTTCTTGATCGGCGCTGACCTTATTCAGCGAGGCTGTTGAACAATACGCTTGGTCTTCTCACCGCTAGGTGTGAAAGTGAACCACAACAATGTTATCCATAAATCTGGCAGCAAAATTTATTTGTTTCAGACGGATACTCTAACATCTACTGCAGCTCCCAAAACGCAATGCCCACACCAGCCAGACTGTCCACCGCGCAGCTCTCACTGGTTTGACAGCTGAAGCACGGCTCTCTTTTGGCCTATACTGCCAAAAGAGCACAGGAAAATAATCTTCAGCTACATGAGCCTCCTGGGTTTGAAGGGCCCAATCACAGATCCTGTCGGCCCGACTCAGATCTCCATATTTCTAGCTTCTTACTCATCATGCCAAGAAAAGTGATGAAGCACATATGTGTAAAGGCCAGATATAAAAGGCCAGACATTCAAACACAGCTTTTAAGGGGGTGAATGTAATCCTCTAGTGCTATTTGATGTAAAATCATGAATTGCAATAACCCCAAATGATTTCGCGGCAAGGCATATAATTACACTAAGAACTTAGATTTCTAATAGCCATTCCGTTGCCTTGGCCACACAACTCCAGCAGCTTAGCCTCTGTGTAAAGCACTAGGAATGGAGCTTTAAGAGAGCTCACTGACGGGCAGCATGACCCATGTCATGAACGTAATCCAGGACAACCAAGCGGGGTGTCTGTCGGAAAACATCTGTATTTTCCAGTATGGTACTTACCAAGGGAGACCACCCTGACTAAAACTCTAAGGCGGAGGACGTTGGGTAATCACCCAAAACGCAACCAATCAATTGGGAAGCAGCAGGCGTTTCTAAAGGTAACGCACAGTTCCCTCTGCTCTGCTCCCCTCTCTCAATCGAACCCTGGCCATATGATATTATCGACCACATGGCAGCAACCACTGCAGCGCAAACTTTAATGTAAGATGCCAGGCAAAGAGACAACGAACCTGCGCGTAAACCCAATTCTACCCCCGATTTCTCTTTTTACCCCAAACATGTTCCAATGGATGTTTACTTGTCATTGAGAATGATTAAATACAAGACTGAGGTAAGAAATGATATAGCTGATTGTATATTTAACTTTAATGTTATCAATTCTGTGTAATCCCTAAATGATCAGTATCAAAATCAACCAATTGACATATTAATATATTATTAATATTAACCAACAATTCAAATCAATTATATGATATTATCATACATATATATTATATACATCATATATAATTATATACAATATAGATATCGATGATATTGTATATCCGTACACAGCAACTGGTTGTTATTCCATCCTATTGAGTCCAAATAGCCCTAAAGCACTCTCGCAGACCACTGTTACGATTTCTAATTGCCCAAGGAAATTAAACCATCACGCCACTAGATGTATATATTATATTATAAAAATAACCGACATTAGTACACCGCATGTAATTAAAAATCCATTTCATACAGAAAAGGAAGTTTTCACTCACTGTTACAGAAGAAATAACATCTAGCTACAGACCAGCACAGTCCGAGCCGAGCTGCCTTCACTCCTCCAGTCTGGCAGCAGAGGGAGACTCATGGGAGGAGGTATATTTGCCAAGGAAGGCCAGACTGTGACTCATGCTCGGGGGCTTGAGACTACAGACTGGCACTGGCCACAGCTTTAAATAGGACACGGATATCACCAGTATCGCAAAGAAAGCACAGCAAGGAATGTACTTTCTGCGCCAACTTGAAAAAAAAACGTTAGCATCTCTCCACCAATTCCGAGTCTTGCAGAGCCATTATCGAGAGCATTCTGACTGCCTCTATAACTGAACTGTTGGGTTTGGTCATGCGTCTGCCCACTCCAAAGGGGAACTGTAGGGTGTTCTCCGGTTTGCAGATAGGGTCATTGGCTGACATCTGCCCTCCACCGATGATCTGTATAGTTCCAGAGCAAAGAAGCAAACAGGAAAAAAATGAAGATAACCCCTCCCACCCAGGTATCCAGCTGTTTCATACTTCAGGAAGGTGCTACTTGTCTATTAAAACCAGAATCACTCTGTATTTGAAAAGCCTCTTCTCAAGAACTGTCTTTCTGATTAACCAGAATACCTAGTTACATGTGCACTTCCTATAATTGTGCACCCTTACGGAACCAAGGCAGTGACAGTTCTTTGTAAATTATTTTTCCTAAAAATGATCCATCTGTTTTTCACTTCAATATTGTTGGATACAAGATTTTATTAAAAGGTGAAAAGGGGTCTGGCATGATTTGTCTTGATTTCAGCCTTTACATCGACAACATTTTAATTAAGGTTGTGTAGACTTTTGATATCCACTTTATGTTCAGAGTTCACAGCAGGACAGAGTAAGTGTAGTAAACCATGACAACCAATAGTGCTGATTCAACATTCAATCGACTGATAGGGTGTCCTTTTGATAGAAGGCCATAACTTTTGCTTATGAAAAAACATTTCATTAAACATTCCCCTAAAGAAGCATTTTGTTCCTTACAAAGCTGTACAAAAAGGGTTTTTTCCTGTTTCAGAAAGTGTTAAATCGTAGAGCATGTGTAATTGTTTAGAAATGACTGAGAAAATTGATCCGCACACAGTTTTTCCCCCACACTAATAGCATGAATTTTACGTACCCGTTATTGCGCAGTATGTATTTTCAATGTCTAGCAACCAGTACAGACAAACAGCTACTGCATTCAGGGTCAGCTTTTACTAAAAAAAAAAAGTCAGTCTTTGTGGCAGGTGTTGCCTAGCAACTGGCCAATAAGTCAATAAACCAAGGTCCAATAGGAGAAAAGATGGGAAGGCTTTGTGAGACCAGAGAACTGATGATGCTGATGGTTTAGGTCTTCTAGCCTTCTCTCTAAATGACTGCACTAAACCAACGGGTTCAGAAAACCCAACTGAAATAACAGCTCTGGTCTGGGGATACCCTCTGTGCCGAATGGTATCCATTCAAGTAGTTCACGCTTTTTTTATTTGTCTTTATTTTGCCTCTGCTCCACTTGCTGCAGCTAGGAATTAGTAGCACTCCTGGATTTCCAAATCCCCCTTAAGTACAGTGTGGTTGCAAAAGACAGGTGCTTGGAAATTAAGTAACTGGGTCCATGTGAAACCAGAAGTAGATCAAAAAGCCATTGAGAGCTTGATAGGAGAGAAAAGTAAAATGATCAAGCTGGGATATTTGCTAAATCTCTGCAAATTACACATCTAGAGCAGAGTATTTCTTAAACAAAGGACTAAGTGCTGAAAAGGATTTTAAAACTAATTTCATTTACAAGTGGTTTTCAAGCACAAGACTTTAGTTCTTTGGTTCAGTTTCAAAGGCTAGAGTTAAGGGTTCCTTTTACTTTAAAAAAAGTGCTCAACAAAGAAAACACATAAGGTCAACGAAGCCTGAAAGGAAAACTACAGTGGACAATGTTTCTACTACCTAAAGAATAACCAGCAGTCTCTTTGCTAGGTAATCTAAAACAATATACTTTTGGCCATTTCTGCCTATATTACTATTCAATACTGATTAGTATCACAAGAATTTACGGTTTTCACAGTTTAAGAACAGAGAGCTGACAGGAAAAAAACCTGTACTATAACTGCCTTTTCAATAAATGCTAATATTTAATCAATAAACAAGAGGCTAAACTGCCATAGAACTCTGTATTCTATAAACTACACAAATATAAATAAGAGAATGTATAAAATTAAGATGGATTCCTAAAACAAACCCAATTGCAAACATGGGCTTTTGCACCCTCACTCACCCAATGAGACTGGGTGATTACAGAAAGTCAACTTGAAAAAACATTCCACTGCCTCTTCAAAACATCAGCTTTCAGTCATATCGGTTTCCACTGCAAACAGGCCAACTTACCATTACGCAGCCTCCTAAACTAAACCGACTCAAGGCTGCACGTGCAAGTTGCATTACTAATTGTGGAGCAAGTATTATTGTACCTTTATCAGAATTACAAGAACCGATCATAATAGACTTGGCTGCTTTTAATACCTTAAACTGGTACTTTAGAGTTATTTGGGTTATGGTGCTATAAAGACTTATTTGCAATAAAACTTACAAATGAGACATTTTCTTCTTCCAATCGTTTAAATAACATCTCCCCTTTGCTAGAATGATTCAAGGCAGATTTATTTATAATAATTCCCTACACGTACATAGTGCTTTTCTGGACACTCCACTCAAAGCTCTTTACAGGCAAAGGAGACTGCCAAACGAGGTGGCCTTGCGGTACTTTCACAGCACATTACGAGATTTGGAACCGTGACGGAAAGTCATGAGGGAATCGTGTAATTAGTCACTCCCTGCGATTGCTAGTCGCATGATTTGACACCCTCAAGGACAGAGAAGGCAGGGAGATTCAGCAACTGCGACTGTTAAATTTGACATGCTCTCGACTAGAAGTCAAGTCATGTCGAGTCCTGCAGTGCGGAAAAGGCTTAAGATTGCCATACAATCCTAAACAGCATGCCTTTGGAAGACCGGACATCCAGCAGGATGCCACTGTTAACATCAGGAAAACTAGCAAACTCCACAACAACTTAAGGTAGCAAGCCAAGTTGGAACTGATCCTGAAACCCTGGAGCTGTGAGGCAGCAGTGCCATTCGGAGAAACTCCCCAGTTTCCAGGCAAACTGATAAAGTGCTTGGCAGGTGTCTTTTGGGTTAAATAAAACAGCTTTAAAGAGTGAGTGACGTTCATGATGGTTATCTCGTGTGCGTGTGGGGGGGGGGGGGGCAGAACTGCACCATTTTCCAATGCATTCAACAGGATCGAGTCCTTGGCAAATAAATGGTGATTAAGAAACACTACATAGTGCCCTAACATCATATGGCACTGTAATGACTTTGATTAGAAAAACACGAAAGTAACTACATTTTTGTCCTGTATTACACTGCAACCTGAAGAACAATTTTAATTCCAGCTTATTGGCAATTTTTCTTCGTTCCTAACATATTTGAAAAGTACCAACGAAGTAGATCACACTTTGTATATAGCTGGGAAAAATATTTTAAAAAAAACTAACCCCGGGCACAGATCTTGCTGTGCACAATGAATGGGTCCTGTCCAGCCATTGGGACATTTACACATCAAAGGACCAAAATCAGAAAAGGCCCAGAAAACAGTAGAGCAATCAAAGCATCACAGGTTCTGAATTACAGCAAAGAAATGGAGACTTTGGTTTTCCA